ATTTATTTGGAATATGCATTACCAGTACAAATTAGGAGACTGTCAAACCTACACCGTGTTAGTATCATTAGAGAACACAAAAGTTCAGTTGGAATCAAAAGGGACCGAAGCCTGTGCTCTCACAGAAGCAGAAAAGCTTAAACTTTCAAAACCAAAAACAGAGCAGAACTTTGTAGGTTTATACTCTGAATAATAAGAACAGGGGAGGGGAGCAGGAGAATAAAACCAACAACCAAAGGAAAGCACTTCAAAATCATGGAAAACGCCAAAGGAAAGAAAGGAAGTCGTAAGAGAGGAAAGGGGAAAAACATTGAATGTTTTATTAATTTTAACAAAAGGAAAAAAAAAAGTTTACAAAAAATAGAAGATTCCAGAAAGCTTTGAGCTGGGTGTTGAAACCGTAAAGGTGATGTGAAAAGCTCGTCATTATTTTGTTGACTCAGGAACAAGCGTGCAGGTGTATGGGCAAACACTGGCAAACCTTTGTTCCGCGGTCCTGCACCGTGGCCTACACTTTCCTTGCTTATGTTCTGGTTGCTTTCTGGACACTTAATCATTTGTTGAATGCAAGATATTTATAATAAGCTTCTTCCAGATCATACTGCTTTCTTTTCCCCTAGAACTAATAAAAAACATTCCAAATCAAGCCAGTTTAACCGTTGCTTGAAGCAGCCGCCTACATCAGAGACGTAGAAGAGGTTTGTCGTCAAGAAATCAAACTTCACCTCTCCCCATTAAAAGGAGAGCACCGAGTCGGGCTCGATTTCTCAACTCTTCGTCCAAAATCAGGATTCAAGAGATCAGTAGGCCGACTGACCGACCCCAGGGATGGCGTCCTGGATTGAGTCTAGGCAGCCAATGGTCCATCACACCAGGATTTCCTGTGGGATGCTTCTGGAAGAAAAATCCTCTCTGGTTGTAAGAGGGCTCATGGAATGTTGTTATTAATCAAGAAGAAAGAAAGCACTTTGTTGTGACATTCACAGGCAACAAAGGGCGAAAAGTCTTTCCCTTCCTTATAAAATGTCTCCTGGACCGACTCGTTGAATTTGTAAAGGGCCAAAAGGAGAACCCAGGTCCCTGTGTTTTTCTCGGGGACTGTGGGAATGCCACACGCTCTGGAAATACAGGGGAGCGATGTGACATCACGATGGGCTTCATCTTTGTCTTTGAAGTCAACTGAATTCCGGAGCAAAATAGAAGCACAGGGAAACTGCCTACTCTACCAATGTCATCTTTTCACATCACCTCGTGTACATATTTAAGGAATAAAAACAGCAAGAGCATAATCCTGACAATTAAAAAAAAAAAA